AACAATGCTGTATAAATAATCACTTTGGTTTGGTTTTTAGACAATTAATTTCTATCACACATTTTATGGTAATGCCTATCTGACAAAAAGAAAAATGCAAGGAAATATATATTTAAGCCTCTGAGCTCATTTCTGTTCCATTTTGGTGTTGTGTCGTGGAAGTATTTCGAATGTGAATGGACTACTACAATTTAAATAAGCATACCATGATAAATACATTTATGGTGTTCTAAGTGTATGAGACTCTGTTCTGCCTGGTAGATAACCAGTGGTTCTGTTCTTAGTGTTAGATTTATAGAGAGGGGATTGTCAAATCTCCACAACCGAAGAGTTCAAGGAGGAAAAAAAGGTAATTCATCTGCATTATAAGATTTCAGATATTTCAAATGGATGCCACATACAGCTAGACAACCTCTTAAAATAGCAATTTTCATATTTTTTTTTGTAATTCTTTGTATATAGCTCTTACTCAATTTCCCAGAGTCGCTCACATTGTCCTCCTGAGAAGATTGTTTAAATCAGAGAGTGAAAAAATCCTTGACGCAATGTTCTGACTTTTTGACTTCCAGAGTAGACCCTTGGGAGTCTAGGCCATGAAAGAATCTGACATCGAATTTACAGAATTGCTATGGATTAAAAAGGTAATAGAGGGAAAGCTGTCTACTTTCCCATTTCTATAGAAACTGCAAGATAATCACCCATCCTGAGAAGGAAGAGGGAAGAGAAATTGGACATAAATCTGGTAGAAGTATAAGAGGGGAACATAATTGGGGGGACCAAGAGGAAGGGTGCGGTCGGCATAGGGGGAATTATGAGCACCATGTGACAGAGTTGGGGCTAGGACACTGCCTGAAATCCAGGCAACATTTCCGCAGTCTTCATCCCCATTTGAGGAAGCCCCACACCTCACTTGGTAGAGAAGAAATATTATATGTCAGTCTTGTCAACGTGGCCTGTGGGTCTTTCATTAATAATAGTCTGACAGCCATCTATACATTATCCAACAGAAGGGCCTATCTCTGTTATGAAATTGAGCTAAGGCTGTCTGAACAGTTGGTGCATACCCACTTTATACAGAGCTGAGACACTCTGAATGCTCCCAACATAGAGGCTGAGTCCTTAACACTGAAAGGACCAGTAGAAGCATGGAAGGAAGAACGCCAACACAGGTCTTTAGATGAGACATATCACACTTCTGAGCTCATATGGAACATCTATGTTTTCCAAAGTCTCAAGGAAAGGAGAGCTGAGAATATCAATTTCTGGAAGGTCCAGGTTTATTCAAATAACAAAATATGAGCAAGTTCTACCTAAGTTATTGGATTATTTGTGTGTGTATGTGTGTGTGGGGGGGCAGGTTTGAAATTGAGTCTCAATAAGTGCTAATCCTACATATCTCTTGAAAGAATATGAGGTAAGTATAAACTACCAAATGATCTCTCCTCCCATCTCTACGTCTTGTTTCTTTATTATTAAAGAGCTAAGCCTTGGTTATTTCAGTTCAATTGAAGATACAGGGAATTTGTCAAATATTATCCTGATTCCCAGTGTGCTTACTGAATTAACAGCTGTTTGCCATACCATGTTAGACCCTCTGCTCCAGTCTGAGAGCTTGAGGTAGTCTTCAAAATGGAAAAAGAGAGGATCTCCAGCTCTTTTGAGCCTGTCAGGAAGCAGTAGGACCTGATCCTAGAAGGTGTTCAGATGGTGGTGACACTGTGCTTAACACTTACTGATCTCTGGAAGCCTAGTGTATTACCCACTGTGCTCTGCTTGAGACTGCTCCTCCTCTATCACAATTTTCCGAAATCTTCCCATGCTTCTCTGCTGGAGTCAGCTTCAATGTCTTTACCTCTAGCAGCCTATAAAGCAGTGGACGCTGATGAGAAAAACAAAAGGGAATTTGGTAAGAGGTCTTCTTCACTGAACATGGAAAAGGGAAATGGAACTGCTCAGCCTTGAAGATTCATTGTGACCAAGGCAGGAAGCCACCGTTGGATTGCTTTAGCAGCAGACTGCAGTATGTAACTCAGCTTCCTGAAGATCGCTACTCTGACGTTTTACTCCTTTTTCACAGCAGAGCTACATTCTCACATCTAGCACTTCCCAGCATTTTCATCGCAGGAAGCTTTTTTCCACTACCCAAATGCCCTCTCCCCACAGTGAGACAAGACCATCCCTCAAATTCTTAGCTCCTCAGAAAGAAAGTCTTTCTAGATGTGTAAACGGAGGAGGCTTTGAAGGAAAGAGCTCCATCATTTCATGCAGCTTATCACTTGGCTCCTGGGATGACTCACTCTTTTGGCTTTTCTTTGCTTTTCTGGCCACATTTCCTTAGTCTTTGTGGTTGGAGCCTTTTAATAATTATGTCCTCTGAATGTTGGGGGAGAGGCAGGCCTTGGTCCATAGGATGGGTCTGATTAGTTGAAATTCACTTGTAGCTTTAAATACATCTATATGCTGATAACTCTCAAATTTAATGTCCAACCCTGACCTCCTTCTCTGCTCCTTGATCTCATATACCCAACTGCCTATATTATTTATGCACTTATGGATTTCAGTATAAGACAGAATACTTGGTTTCCTCTCAAGAAATTTTCTTTCAGTGTATTCATCTCAATAGATGGCTTCAGCATTTACCCAGTGCTCAAATCAAAAATCCTTGGAGTCATACTAAGTTCTACCTTTTCTTTCATCCGTGCCCCCTCCCCACTCCATCCAGTCCAGCAATAAGTTCTCTTGACTTTCTTTGATCCTTAAAGACATCCTGAACTGACCACTTTTCACTACTTCCACCACTATCACTCTGGTCTACCTGACCTCCATCTCTCACATGATATTGCAATGGCCTTCTGGCTCTCCTATACTCTTCCTCTTACCAGAGCGATCACTGACATCATTCTTGAAACCTCCCTGCCAAACTGGCCTCCTCTTGCAACGAACTGCCATCCAAGATTGTTTGTGTTTGCCTTTCTCTCTGCCTACAACGCCCTTCCTCTAGATGTTTCCATGGCACTCTCTCTCACTCCGTTAGGTCTCTTCTCCAGTGTCATCTCATCAGATAGACCTTCCCTGATCATGTGATCTAAAGTGACAGACATCTTCCCTCACCACTCCTTTTCCTCTTATTCGAATTTATTTTCCTCGTATTACTTTTCCCTGGATGACATTTGTCTTGATTGCCTGACTTCCAGAGAGGAACATAGCTTCATGAAAGCAAAACTTTACCTGTCTTGTTTACTGCTATCCCCCTAGTCTCCAGAACAGTGGAAGCACATATTCAATAAATATTTAGTGAAAGAAAGAATCAATGAAATAAATATAGTTTACAACACAAATAGGAAGCTTCTCTTGCATAGCTAGAGATACTGGAGTTAGATAACTAATGACTTTGGGAAAGAAGCTTCTATTCAAGTGGAAGGTCAGTGATCTTTTCAATGTTATTTTTACACTTTAATTTTCATATTAATGAAATATGTTACTTAAATATATTTATATATGTCGTTGCTCTTGAACAGTGGCCAGGCAGTTTAATGGTATTACAAACTTCCTTACAATACAGGGGAAAACAGGATAATATATTGTTTGGAAACTTTGGTCTTTATTTTTAACAGAGTAGTAAAGTGTAGTTGAGATACATTAAATTTCACGTGTTGAAAGTATACAATTTGATCGGTTTTGACAAATGTAGGTACCTGTGAAACCATCCCTCTATTTTCATTTAGATTACAGTTCAAATTTTGGCTCTGCAATTTATTAGCAGAGTGATCTTCAGCAAATTATTTAACTCCAAAATTCTGTTTATTTATGTGATAATTGGAGATAATATTGGTATCTTTCTCGTAAGGTTATTGAAATGAATAAATGAGATACATGGAAAGAGCCTGGCAAATAGTAAGCATATAATAACTTCTGGTATTTTTTTATCTAGGTAAGTAATACCCCAAAGCTGCTTCAATATTTTTATTTGATGTTGCCATTGTTTTTTAATAATATCAAAAACTTAAATGCCTTTTTGGGCCAGGCAGGTAATTGAAATTTGTCAGAACCAGGAATAGGGGATTCATGAGGGACAATTGGGGACTGAAGAGTGGATGCCTAATGATATAAAAGCATTCAAATTTAAAATTCAAGAAAAAGAAAAAGAATTGTGTCAACTCTACAAGACAAATCTACGAGTTGCGTTCAGCCTATTGGACACAAGCAATGCGAAGTCAGAGAAGGGGTTTTAGTGTGAAATCGACATGATTGAGTTTATATTTTAGAAGTGAAGTTGATTCTGGCTGTGTTAACGAGCATCAGTTGGAGAGGGGGCAGGCGAAAAAGCAGAGGGACCAGTTAGGAGATGATTTTAACAACCTACGTAAGGAAATATGTTGGTTTAGAATAAATTGATAGCAGAGATCAGGAGAAATGGATGAATTTGAGATGTGTTCTGGAGTTAGAATAGACAGTGCTTTTCTGTATGTCCATATATAGACACTGATTGAATTTTCCTTAAAGAAATGTCTTTTAAAGAGTCACTTAAAAAAACGTAGTGAGCTGTTAGGTTTTCTTTCTTCTAACTTTAATTCCTTGTTTCTTCCAATAATATTTTTGTATGATTTTACTGTTTAACATTGTGGAATCTAAAAAACAAAACAAGTGAACAAACAGAAACAGACTCAGACACAGAACGCAAACTGGTGGTTGTCAGAGGACAGCGGGGTGGGGAGTTTGTTGAAATAGGAGAAGGCTATTAAGAGGTGCAAACTTCCAGTTATACAAGAAATAAGTCACTGGGATATAATACAGAGTGTAAGGAATATAGTCATAATATTGTAATAACTTTCTATGGTTATAAATGTATATAAATATCAAATCACTATGATGTACACCTGAAACTAACATAATCTTGTATGCCAACTACACTTCAGTTAAAAACAATAAAATAGCCGGATAAGTTTACGGTCCCCGGGAATTTGGCACACTGCTAGTGGGCGGGGCTGCACTTAGTTTCAGTTTCCTTTTCTCAGAATCTCTGAAGCCTCGAGGTTGCTGAAGAATTTTCTGCTCCTACTTTGATGCCTGCCTAGCTGTCCAGAGAGAGCAGCTGCTCTCAGCTTCAGCCCTTGTGCAGATCCTACAAACAGGTAAACGACTTGCTCCTTTCTGCTTTTCCTAGCCACTAGCAAACAACAGTCTTTAAAAAAATTTTTTTTAAAAATAATCATTTAGAAAGAAAAACTAGCTAATGATTTTTCTTGCTAGGTATTCACCCTCTATTTACTCATTTCGTGTGTAATGGAAATAAGAGGCATAAATACAAGCTTTGAGACAGTACATATTATCTGTTTTTCAATATTTAATGGAAAATGTATTTTATTTTCCACTAGATTGAGAAGTATGGCAGTGACAACTTGTTTGACATGGATGCAAGAGAAGATTCTGCAAAATCATTTTGGAGGAAAGTTTAACCTTCTCTATAAAGCTAGTGTCCATAAATTTTCCCTTGAACATTTGCTCCAGGTATGCAGTAATCAAGGACCTACTGTGACAGTGATTTATAGTAAAGATCATGTTACTGGGGCATTTATGCAGGAGGGTTACCAGGAAGGAAAGACAAGTTTCATTACCCTTTTTGCCTTACAAGAGACTAAAATTCTGGAATGTAAAATGAAACTCTGTGTACCATCTATGTTGTTTGTTACATGGACTGGATGGCACCGGCAAAAGAAATATGAATTTGGCATTGATCTAACGGGAAGAAAGTTGCATATAAGTGCAAATACAAGTAAAGAACTTGGATTACTTCAATGTGAAAGTATCTCCTTTGAGGAATGTGAAGTTTTTCAATGTGAAGGTAGGTTTAACCAGACAGGTCTATGCTATAGAGTTCTCGCTTGCATGTTTGGAGGGTTAAAGCTGACTCATCTCTGAAGGAAAAACGTCTCTTACACTTGTTCTTTTCTCCAGTTGGCCCAGACAGAACCTGGCCACCAACTGTTTGCTAAGACACAATCACAGTCAAAAGTAGTATATACAGAGTTTTCTGGAATGTGTTTGTGTGGGGAAAGGAGAAGGGGAGGAGAAGGAAGGGTGGAAGGAGAAGAGAGAAGGAGAGAAGAAAACTTGAAGACTATGAGACTCTCTTGCAGAGAAACCAGAGCTTGACGTTCACTTGATTGGTACGGGGTCCTTTCTGATGCAGTTTCCCTTTGTATCCTTTATATCAAAAGACTAAAACTAATTTACTTATTTTCCTACTAAAAAGCATTTAAATTGTTTCCAATGTTGCTGTTGTAAGCAATGCTCCTGAAATATCTGTATACCTATAATTGTGCACAAAAATACTTCCTTATAGTAACTTTCTGGCGGTGGAACTGCTGTTTGCGGATTGCGTACATTTGCATTTTGAAAGACACATTTCAAAAGCTTCCAGTGTCTAATTCTATCCCCAAGAGTGGTATAGAAATGTTATTTCCCTGTATCCTTGCCAATCTTTGATATTCTCAATATTTAGAATGTTTGCCAATTTGATGGTCAAAAGATGATTTCTCCTTTTTTTTTTTTACACATTCCTGATAACTAAGAAGTCTATGTGTATTGGCCATTTACTTTTTTCTATGAAACACTTGTTTATATCTATCCATTTAAAAGAAGAGCTTCTGGGAATAATATTCCTTGAGTATTTGCATATTGCAAACTAATTGTTTGTGGTCTTTATACTTAAATGACTATAAGAGTACACAATTCTTGGATCACATTTGTTTTGGGGGGGATGTTGTAATGTTTCCACAGCATTGATGTTGCTGTGAAAAACTGAAGGCCAGATTCACTTATTTTGGCTCATATCAACATTAATTACTACTTTCTATTTTTTAACTTTATGTAAGTGGAACCATACCAAAGTATGTGCTCTTATGTGTCTGGCCTCTTTCATTCACTATTATGTTTGAGAGATTGAGCTAATACAAGAGATTGGATTATAAAATCAGATCTCTACAAATCAGACATCTTACCCAGTATCGAGTATTACTAATAACTTCAAGGATAAAGGCAATCAAAAGTCTCAAAGAAGACAGAAAGTGTTCTAGGATATTCTGTGAGGCTCCTATATCCCTTCTTCTCATATTAGACATATGCTTTCTGGCTAAGAACAACAGATGGGTTTTTAAATGAAGTTTGTGGGCCACCTGACATATGGAAGAGTGGTTAGGTTATGGAACATTTATATGCTAGTGCCATGGACTGAATTGTGTCTGCCTCAAATTCCTATGTTGAAGTCCTAACCCCCCATGTGTCCTTCCTTGGAGATGAGGCCTCTAAAGAACTAATTTAGGTAAACAAGGTCATAAGAGTGAGGCCTTAATTCAACAGGATTCAGTGTCCATATAAGAAGGGACCCAAGAGAGGTCTTTCTTTCTCCCCACAAACACACAAAAAGAGGTCATGTGAGCACACAGCAAGATGGCGGCTACCTACAAGCCAAGAGAAGAGGCCTCAGAGTGAAACCTCCCTTGCCAGCACCTTGATCTTGGACTTCTTAGTCTCCAGAACTGTGAGAAATAAATTTCTGTTGTTTAAGCCCCCCAGTCCATGATATTTTGTATGGCAGCCTGAGCAAACTAAGACAATCAGCTTACATGACATTTCCCAGGAAGATGTGCCTCATAAATCCATAAAATCTGGATTTATTTATTGTAAGTAATTCTTAGCCAGGAACATCCTAATAGGGACGTTCAAGAGATAAATACTTTCCTTGCAGCAAACATCATTAGTCTATTTAGCAGGAGGTAAGAGTATTAGCATATTTATAAGGAAATTAGGCTGGGTCACTTTTCTTTCTTTCCCTGAAAGTTTTACCTGGTGAAGTGAGTGACTGCATCACAGGACAGCAGTTGTAAATCTTACCTCCCCAGTGATTCATCCACATTATTATAAGTAGCAGTTATTTATTCCCTTTCTTTTTCATATAGTATTCCATTGTAATGACTCTATCATGCTTTTTTAAAAAAATCAAGTCGCTGTTGGTGGACATTTGGGTTTTCCAGTTTGGGGCTATTACAAATAATACTGCTATAAACATTCTTGTACATGTCTTTTGGTTCATGCATATACATATTTTTCAAAGAATATGAGTATGAAATTTCTGGGTCATCTAGTATGTGTATGTTCAACTTCAGTGGATGCTGACAAAGTTTTCCAACATAATCACATACCAATTGTACTACCACAAGCAGTGAATGAGAGTTTCCATCACTCTAAATCTTTCCCAAAACTTTTTATTACTGGTTTTACAATATGTAACCATTCTGGTATGTGAGCTGTGGTATGACATTTTGAGAATTTGGTTTTCTTTGATTAGACTAGCTGGTAATTTATCTATTTTACATTTTAAACCAATCAGCTACTATATTAATTTATACTTTTTTCCAATTTATAAGATTTGTCTTTGTATTTTTGTTAATTCCTTCTTACGTTTCTAAGTTTGTTCCTTTATTGTTTTCTGTTCCTATTTTCTATTTTCAAAGCTTTCTTTCCTGTTATTAGTGAAATATACTTTTATCACAAGGTTGCTATAGAGTGTTTATATTGTTGTTATTTTCTCTGTATTTACAATTGTGATTTTTTAATTTCCTTTTGTGTATTAAAGTCCTTTAAGAGAGTGCTTCACAAAATCCCCAAAGGTTGCATTTTTCTTTGTTTACACTTGTTCTTTTCTAGTTTTATTATACAGTAGTAATTGACTGCAGCCTTCACTATTTCTACTTTTGGTAATTTAAAGAAGTTTTCTTTGTAACCATGCATTGAGTCATCTTTGTAAATGTTCCACACAATATTCTTCTTTTTTAGTTTAGCTAACTGCCAGCATCACTGCACCGAATCCTTTCAGTTTTAAATTCACCATAAAAGAGTATTTCTTCCCAAGAAACAAAAGAATTCTGAGCCTGAATTTCATTGGTTCAAATGAAGTTCTCAGCCCACCCCTGGATCACTCACTGTGCTCTGATTGGCTGGGTACGAGTCCTACATTCTCATCTGGAGCCAAGAAGAAAATCAATTGGACTGAAAGTTCCAGGAGCCCCATTTGTTGGTAGCAGATTTTGGAGAAAATCTGGTGCCTATGGATTTTTCGTTTGTGTGTCTCTGCATATTATCCCTTTTTGACCTATTGGGCTGTGGAGGGAAAATAATCTTAGAGTATTCCCAGTCTTTCCATGGCCTGTCCATGCCTCTATGCCTTGCTTCTCTGATTCAGAAAAGTCCCCAGCCCTCATCTCCCGTATTGGAGTGAGCCATGCACGACTTCTGAGTTATTGGGTGAGAAAAAGTCTGCCGACACTATAGTCTTGAAGTGCCCACCTTGCCTCTAGCTCTTGACTCTTCAAATGAGATGATGCTAAGGAGATTTGTCACAATTTTTGCCACTTGGTTTTCATTATACTGCACTGTTCTCCTGGAAAGACTATTTTGGTATTTTTCCCTAGTGAGTTCATTGACATTCATTCAGTCAGCCATTCAACAACTTGCAATCTTCATTATTCTTTGATTATTTTCCTAGATATATTGAACAAAAGGAAGATGGAAGAGGTCACTGAGTAAGTCAATGTTTTTAAAGTTCTATTGTTCTGTTCATTATCTTAGACTTATTCGATTACAAATTCTGTTCAATAAAATTGGTAGCACAAATTATAACAGATAACTTGTGGATCATGAGGAAGAAAGTATAACTATACCTATAATCATAAAACAATTTGGTAATGGTAATGTTAAAACAAAAAGAATACTGAGAAGGGTGAAGACATTTCTAATATTTTATATACTTGAAGGAAAATAATTCTTTGGCTGCCTGTCTACATTTTTGCTTAGAATTCTTGCATTGACAGCTTTAACTACTTTAGGAAATTGCTGTGGAAGGGATGGTTGGCAGGTGGAAAATACCTATCTTGAGTTTCAAGAACATGTTAGAAATGGTCTACTTCCATAAACTTCAAAAGTCACACGTTTGCTGTGGTTTTTGAAGTCTATTACTGATAATTCGTCTTCATGTTTAGCATAGTTGATATTTATTCCTAGGTTTATATGATCTGGTTACTTAAATCTGAAAGGTTTTGTGTCTGATTGGCTTTAGTTAAAAGTGTTATTTTTACTTTTCCTTCTTTTACAATAGGATTTGAGGTAGGATGGTTTCACATCTTTTGTACAAGAAGGTAAACTACTAATCAAAAATAAATAATGATAGATAAGAAAAGAAAATGAATTATAGGAAAATTTATGATAAAGTCTTGTGACATAATCTCAGTCAACTGTTAAAATTGTCTCGTCTAAACAGGCTCAGGGAGAGTTTATGGTCTTCCATGAGAACTTATAAGCCGTATGGAGACCTGGTTCACCAAATACGAATTCTTTTGTTGGGTCCGATTGGAGCTGGGAAGTCTAGCTTTGTCAACTCAGTGAAGTCTGTTTTCCAAGGCCGTGTAGTGCACCAGGCTTTGGTGGGCTCTGATACAACCGGGATATCTCAGAAGGTGAGTCTGTTCTAGGTAACTCAGCCTTCGCTTCTTTGTTCGAGTTAATTAGATTTGAAAAGTCTTTTGCTGGTAAACTTCATTATATATAGACTTCATCTCAATTTACAGTTTTCAAAAAAATAAACTCTTAAACTTACTTTTTTCTCCTCTGTAGTACAGGACGTATTCCATTAAGGATGAGAAGGATGGCAACTCCTTGCCATTTATTCTCTGTGATTCCCTGGGGCTGGGTGAGGGAGAAGAAGGGCTTTGCATGGATGACGTACCCCAGATCTTAAAAGGCCATGTTTCTGACAGATACCAGGTATGATTTGGTTAACCATTGAAAAGTTATAACAGATAATTAAAATGTTTATTTCCGCCCACTATCGACATCAGGCTCTAGTTCAGCGATTCAGTATTTATTTTCTTAAACTATACTTGTTTAAAATTCTTTGTTCCTTTCTGATATTTTATTTTCCAAAGAGTTAAAACACCTGAAGGACTCTTACATCATTGGCGTCATAACAACTCTGAATGTTAAAACACACTCAATTGCCTTTGGCTGTGTGAAACAAACTATCAACTTATTCAAATAGACAGTTTTTCTTATGTAACAGGAAGCATGAAAGTAAATAGCTTTGGGCCAATGTGGTAGCTCTCTGAGGTTATTAATTTCAAGGGTCCTCCTGTTGTTCTGTTCTGAGATCCTCAGCATGGGATGATAAAGATTAAATGTTTGTGTCCCTCCAAAATTCATATATTGAAGCCCTAATCCCCAATGTGATGGCATAGGAGGTGGGGCCTTTGGGAGGTGATGAGGTCAGGAGAGTGAAGCCCTCGTGAATGGGATTAGCGGCCTTGTGAGAAAAGCACAAGGAGGTGATCGCTTTTTCAGCCATATGAGGACATAGAAAGAACATGGCTGTCTACATATCAGGAAGAGGTCCCTCACCAGTCACCAAATCTCTCAGCGCTTGATCTGGGACTTCCTAGCCTCCAGAACTCTGAGTGATAAATGCTTATTGTGAAAGCCACTCAATATGGTAATTCAGTATAGCAGTCCAAGCTGACTAAGACATGTGGCTTTTGTCTCCACGCTCTCAAGATGTTCATGCTGAGCACTGTCAGTGTTCCAGGCAAGAGGAAGGGGGAGATTAAAAAGAAGAGCCACTTTAGTCTATCCTTTTTTTGACTTTCTATTCTTTTTTGTAAACAATTTAGATCTTGAATTAATCATTAGCTTACCTTATTTTAAATGAATAGTCAAATACGCCAACATCTTTCACTGAATTTCTTTTGAAACTGCTCCTTACCAAATATAGGGAATGTTTTTTGTATCTTCTAGTTTGTTCTATTGATGTATTGATCAATACCTTTATGATATTGCTTTCATTACCATATTGTTCAATTGTTTTAATTACCATAGCAATTAATTATGTCTTGATAACTCTCTGGACAAGTCATATTCATTATTCATTTCTCACATTTGTTTTTTTTTGTTGTTGACCATTTTCACACATTTACTTTTCCACGTGAGTTTGTTTGTGCTTGATTTGTTTGTTTGTGTTTGATTTGTTGATGCTTTGATTGAAATTACCTTAAAATTTTGTATTTAGAGTTGATTTACATCTTTACACATCTAGTGTTCCTATCCAGAAACACAACATTTTTTTTCTATTCAGGCAAGTTTCTTTCATTCCTCAGTATAGAGTTATTTGTAGAATTAGTTAAGTTTATTTTATTTCTTTTTTCTTTTTTTTGTGAGGGATATTGACCCTGAGCTAAGATCTGTTACCAATATTCTTTTTTTTGCTTGAGGAAGATTGTTGCTGAGCTAACATCTGTGTCAATCTCCCACCACTTTACGTGGGATGCTGCCACAGCATGGCTCAATGAGCAGTGCCAGGTCTGTGCCCTGGATCCGAACCTGTGAACCCCAGGCTGCTGAAGCAGAGTGTGCAAACTTAACCACTATGCCACTAGGCTGGCCATAGCTTTATTTTTAAATATACTTTTTTTGTTTTTTTTAAAAAAACCCTTTATTATAGAGAATTTTAAACTTGTACAAAAGTAGACAAAATAATTTAATGAATTTTCATTTACTCAGCTTCAAAATTTTTGACTCATAGCCAGTTTTGTTTCATCTATATATATCGGCTTTCTCCTCTCCTGTATTATTTGGGAACAAATTTAAGTCATAACATCTCATCCATAAATGACTAAACATTTATATACATAGGGACATATGTATCTTTTAATAAACATAGCCATACTGTTACCTCATCTAAAATTAATAATTGTCCCTTAATTTATCAAATGTCACTCAATATTCAACTTTCTAATTGTCTTATAAGCAGGTTAGAAACATCTTTTTTCAACAGTTTGTTTGAAAAATAGTTCAAGTAAATTTATTCGGCCTTTTTTTTTGCTTGGGGAAGATTAGCCCTGAGCTACCATCTGTGCCAATCTTCCTCTATTTTGTATGTGGGTTGTTGCTACAGCATGGCTGATGAGTGGTGTAGGTCCAGGCCTGGGATCTGAACCTGCAAACCCAGGTCACTGAAGTGGAGCACGTAGAATCTAACCACTAGGCAACCAGGCCAGCCCTATTTAGTCTCTCTTAACCTGTACATTCTGCCTCTATCTCTTTTGGCATTTCTCCTTGCAATTTGTTTTTAAGAAATCTGGTTGTTTGTTCTGTAGACTTCCCCATAGTCTGATCTTTGTTGTTTGCATCTGTTGATGTAGTTTTCCATGTATCCTGAAAAATCAATCGTTGACTCTAGAGGCATGTTCAGACTCAGCTTCTGCTTCATAGATGGCATTGTGTTCTTCCATGAGGAGGCACACAATTTTCAATTTTCTTGCTTTTTTAATATTAGTGTTCATTAATGTTCAATACTGCACCCATTTATTTATTAGAGTGTGAAAATAGTGGTATTCTATCTCTATCATTCCTTCATTTCACATATGAAAGAGAAACTTCCCCTTATGCACATTTGATTACTTAGTGGTACAGTTGATATATGAAAAACAGGATGTATGCTTGATTTTTTTTTCCTTTTTTACGAATTTTTGAAATAATAACTTGGTTTCTTTGTATCTGCCAGTAATGACTAGTGATTATTTCATTATCATTATGAACTCATGAATTGAACATAGTTGATGTGTTTCAATCTGTTGTAATTTTTCTCCATGCCATTGTCAAATGTAACATCTTTGACCAGAGGGAACCTCTGCAATTTGGATCTTGAATCCTTTTGACATGAATCTAAACATCTCCTATATTCTTTGATTTCTGGTATGACTAGATATCCAAGCCACGTCTTGTATGTTTGCAGCCCCAGATTTTGAATCAGTTATTTCTCTAAGAAGTCTTGGTTTGGGTTCATAGCATTGTTCATTGCTACTTGGTTGCTCATTGGTTTTTGCCCTTTTCACTGGACAGAGCTAAAAAAGATATGTTTTTATGGTAAAATATGTTGTAAATTCATTCAGAAACTCCTCATTCAAATTCAAGCCTAGACAGTTTTTGCTTAGTCTCTTCTGTCTTGCATCTGTGTCTGCTTTCTCCCAAATAGAGAATCTGTGTTTTCAAGAGATGACGGAATATCGTGTAACAACTCATTTGTTTTATTTCACATAATATTCACTGTAATTTCAGAATAAAAGCTCGAATGCTACTGTGAACTATCTAATCATAATCATATTTAATATCAATAATCACAATCAAAATTATAAACGATTCAAAAATTTTAGCAGATTTTTTATATGGTCTTTAGGGTGTCTCAAGCAGTAAGAGTATACAAATTACTGTGTTTTAAAGTCAATCAGAAATGATTTTTCTCTGCATAGTTATGACCTCAACTGGATGTGAAAGTTCACTTGTTTAATTTAATTTAGGAATTCCTTTTTAAATTTAATCTTGTTTTATATTTATAATTTATATGGTTCTAAAGCCAAATCTACAAAGAAGGGTGTATTCAAAGAATTCATCTTCTTTCTGTGTCCCTTCAAACACATTTCTCCTCTCTTTCTATAAGTAACCATATAAAAATGTATGGTTTTCTTCCTTTTTTTAATATATAAGAAAATACTTATAGATTTGTGGTTCCGCCTTTCTTGGAGCAGTGAAAGAATACTATATGTTATTGAGCTATCAGAATTTTGCCACTACAAATAGTCCTGAAGTTACTGGCTTTGTACAAATATCATTTCATGTTTTCGCGAGTGTATCTGTGGGACAAACTCCCAGCAGAGGGATTGCTAGTTCAAGAGTAACAGCATCTCATTTTGAACCACTTTTTCTCTTTGTGTTCTGCCTGATGATACCAGATTTCTGTCTGAGTGCTCTCACCTCTACCTTTGCCCATGTTGCTTCTTCTATCTAGAGTTCTTTCTGCCGTATCTTTATCGCCTTTATCAGACTAACTCTCTCTATATTTTAGCTCTCAGATTGCATGTTCTCTTCTTGCGGAAGCTTTACCTGACTAGGTGAAAGGACTGCTGGCTTCTGCGTAATGACTTTGTTCTCTACCAGATTGTTAGCCTCATAATATTAGCGACTTGTCCCTTTTGTTCACTGTGTCATTCACTATCATGGTGCCCAGTACATAGTATGTACTGATAAATATTCACTGAATTAATATGTTTCTTTTTGTTTACCTTACAGTTTAACCCCATGAAACCAATCACACCAGGTCATGATAACTATGTTGACTCCCCATTGCTGAAAGACAGAATTCATTGTGCAGCATTTGTGTTCAATGTCAACTGTATTGAATACCTCTCTGATGAGATGGTGGCAAAGATCAGAAGAGTTCGAAGGAAGCTGATAGAGTGTGGTGAGTCTCCTTTCACTTTACTACTATGGGAAATTGATTAGACCATATTGTAGAATGGTTTTGGACAGGATGAAGAATTTAAGAAATTACGTATGTGAATCTTCTTTGGTCCATCAGCACGGTTCAATCAAATCAAGTACTCACTAGCTGTATGACTTTGTGCAAGTGACTAAAGGCTTTGGAGAAGGTAAACAAGATTAGGAAATTAGGGTGTCCCATGCTGGCTTTTCTTGGCTTTATTATCCGCTCTGTTTGGCCAAGAGCTAGTTTATCACAACTTTGATTAAGTTAGAGGCAGGGAGTGGTTGACTTACCTGCTGATTGAAATTGAAAATCTCTCAAGGGTGGTGTGCAGGGAGGTGCTCGCCAATATTGTGACATAGGAGCAGTTTATTTGTGATGCTTTGACACATCCTATCTCTTTGAGTCCCCTTCTGCTCCATCTTGTTTACTAGAACCCTTTGATCTTTTCTCTAGTCTCCACAAAACCACAACTGTTTGTATAAAATATGAAATCAATCAACAATATTGTAGCATAAGTTTTAGTTACCTTTTCCAAGAAGTGGTTTCACTTGAAGCCTCATTTTTACCATGGAAGGCAATGAAGGGAATTTTCTATGTTAGAATTCTAGATATTAGATATTAATGGGTAGTCCAGGGGAACATTTTGTGGGGGCTGGGGAACCTTCCCACATCTCTGAAATTTTTTCGTAGATAGCCTATTGCATAACTGATAGCTGATTAACTAAAAAATGCTGATGCTGTCTATAATAATAAAAGCAATATATATCTGTTTGCCATAGGTTTGGTACATTTGGTTTTGCTCACTCATGTGGATAGCATGGATCTGATTACAAAAGATGACCTTATAGACATATACAGATGTCCGCCTGTGAAGTCCCAGGTAAAGAATGACGCCCTTTGTAAACATTTTCTGGGGCATGCCACTATAATCACATGATATTACTGTGCATAAAAATAAAAAGAGACACTTACTGAATTTAAGAAGAATTGAAACAATTGCTTGGATAATTCAGACTCACTTCCCAAGTTTTAAAAATTAAATATATATTTATCTTTACACCGATACAGATAATTCCATTCATTACAATTCAATTCAATTAAGTTCAAGAAATATTTATTGATTACCTTTAACGATCGAGCCAGTGTGATAACCTCTAATCAGATACACAGATAATTAAAACAATTCCCCTGCACTGGAAAGCTTACAATTTTATAGGTGGAGGTGAGGGGATGGGGGAGTGGGATAAGAAAAAGTTGAAAAAGTAATATGATATGATTGAATATGATAAATATCATGAAAAGACTGAAAATAAAATGCTTTGAAAGTTTAGAGGAGGAAAATATTGTGTTAAAGGCAATAGGGGAAAATTTCATTACTGAGATGGCACTAGGAAATGGCTCTCAAGGAGCCAGAGTATTTCAGAAAGTGAAGAAACAAAAAGGGGGAAAAATTCAGGCCGTGGGGACAGCACCAGTCAATACATCAACGCAGGAGAGGGCAGTGTGTATGGGAAGCATGGAGTTGTTCAGTTTAGTGGAGGGCTGAATCCTTGCGGGGGGAGATGAAGTGAGAAGGTTACCTTGGCATGAGGAGACTTAATAAGATGCATTATGGGGAATCATAGCAATTTTTTGAAAGAGTAGTGATATGACCAAAGTTAAGCTTCACAAAAATTAATCTGCCACATGTATGCAGAATAGATTGCAGTCAAAAAGAACCCGGAGGTGGGATCATCAGTTGGAAGGATGTAATGATAGCTGATATTTGTTGAGCACTAAATATGAGATAGCTTTTCTTATTCAATGCTTATAACAACTCTATGGGATGGGTACAGTCATCACCACATTTTATAGACGATAAAACGAAAACACACGGAGTAAAGCATTTGCCAATGTTTATTGACAGTGCTAAGAGGGGACAGAGCCCTATTTGGAACCCAGGAAGTCTAGCTTCTCAGATAAACTAGTCTAAGCTAGAATTAAACATCAACATTAAACTAGTCTAGTAAAATCGACTTATCCTGAGAATAACTTTTAAAAGGAAACTGAAGGAGATTATGGACTTTGGTGTAATGGTATTAAAAATGCTTTGATTTCAAAGTAGTTTATATAGAACTATTAGTTACCTTTTATTTCTAATTCATGTTGAATCTATTACATGTATTCTAAATGAAAATTAGCAGTGATATTAGAGCTTGATTTGTGAGGTTCTTTAAGAAAGTACTTAATTGGGCCAGATCTCTATCTCCATTTTTCCCAACAAGAAAAGTATTGGCAAGCTCCTACTTTTTTGTTACTGCTTTCATAGTTTATATTGGCATAAAATAGTATTTTTAACTCTCGAGATTTCTGAGTTTTAATTTCTGTATTGCAGCTGGAGGCCGTTCACAAAGCACTTGGATTTCCTCTTTCTGACATTTTGCTGGTTAGTAATTATACTTCTGAGTGGGAGCTGGACCCTCTAAAGGACAATCTGATCCTCTTTGCACTGAGACATATGCTGTGGGCAGCAGATGACTTCCTGGAGGATTTGCCTCTTGAAGAAACAAGGGAGATGCTTTTGGCGGTGTAGAAACTTGAAGGCATCAGCTCCGTGGCTACTTCCCGCTTGAATCTATTGGGTACGTGGCACTTCTCTGTCTCTGTAAGTTGTTGCCGTGTGAATAGTCCTGCCCTTTAAGCCAATGGCTGGATGCATTTTTTCCCTTGACATTTCCTGATTCCTTACCCCTATGGTAGATTCTAGGGCATCTGTACTACTTCTCTTCCCTCTTGACTTGTTTTAAAATGAAGTTTTTGAAATGATCCACTTCTGCCATTCCCACTGTCTGAACATCGCAAGCGTATCCTTGCTCCCTTCCCTCAAAATGTGCTTCTTTGCTTGGGATCTAGAACTGGATTGGATCAGCATTTTTCCTGATCAGATGTGATCTTTGATTATTTGCCCTTCCTTGGGACCTCATGCTTTTACCTTTTTTGATTTGACTGTTTTGACAGCTATCCCTCCTCAGGCTCCCTCTTAATGCAGTGTGGGAAGCTCTCATACTACCAGTTTTGCTTTCCTGATTCTGCTCTCTTGGTTTCTCCATTTCTTCTGTTCCTCGTGATACATGCACTCCCAAAGTCAGGGCTGGCTCAGATCTCTGTAGCCCAATGTTCATCTTCCCTCTGGTTGCTTATCCCTAAATAATCCATTAAGAATATTTTGTTTATCTTTTCTCAGAGATTCCTGAGAAAGGAATTATCAAGTGCGCAAAAGAAGATAATAAATATGTGAACCCTTTGCATATTATTAATTTTTATCTCATCATAGAAGAGTGAAATTGAGAAATAAGGAAACAGGAAAAAGAGAAGTAGCTGAAACTGAAGGGGGATATTTTATTTATGTCTGCAGTGAAGATGCACATACAAAATTGTAATACCTATAAATAACTAGGAGCAGCAGGATTTGAAGTCACCTATTGTGAAAAAACAGTCATAATTTCTTTTGGACTTATGTTTTGTTTCTGTAAAAAATTAAAATTTCTTTTCATAATACTTGAGTCTAACTTGAGTGTGTATGTGTGATTTTGGAAAAAGTTTATTTTAATGTGAATTGCCAGCATCTTCTCATCTTTTTCTCCTTCATCTTAGTTTTGCATTTTTATTTTACTTCTGAAGTACTCGCTTTTATTCTCTTTGGGTTCCCAGTTAATGTCGTATTCTTTAACCTTAAGCCATTTTTTTGTTTCATATTCTAACCCCTCTTCCAGGCTGTGGCAGTTAATATTAATGAATTCCACAGGACTGAAAGTGAAAGGGGCTATAGTTTGATTCTCATGACCTGGTGTGATTGGTTTCATGGGGTTAAACTGTAAGGTAAACAAAAAGAAACATATTAATTCAGTGAATATTTATCAGTACATACTATGTACTGGGCACCATGATAGTGAATGACACAGTGAACAAAAGAGACAAGTCGCTAATATTATGAGGCTAACAATCTGGTAGAGAACAAAGTCATTACGCAGAAGCCAGCAGTCCTTTCACCTAGTCAGGTAAAGCTTCCGCAAGAAGAGAACATGCAATCTGAGAGCTAAAATATAGAGAGAGTTAGTCTGATAAAGGCGATAAAGATACGGCAGAAAGAACTCTAGATAGAAGAAGCAACATGGGCAAAGGTAGAGGTGAGAGCACTCAGACAGAAATCTGGTATCATCAGGCAGAACACAAAGAGAAAAAGTGGTTCAAAATGAGATGCTGTTACTCTTGAACTAGCAATCCCTCTGCTGGGAGTTTGTCCCACAGATACACTCGCGAAAACATGAAATGACATATGTACAAAGCCAGTAACTTCAGGACTATTTGTAGTGGCAAAATTCTGATAGCTCAATAACATATAGTATTCTTTCACTGCTCCAAGAAAGGCGGAGCCACAAATCTATAAGTATTTTCTTATATATTAAAAAAAGGAAGAAAACCATACATTTTTATATGGTTACTTATAGAAAGAGAGGAGAAATGTGTTTGAAGGGACACAGAAAGAAGATGAATTCTTTGAATACACCCTTTTTTGTAGATTTGGCTTTAGAACCATATAAATTATAAATATAAAACAAGATTAAATTTAAAAAGGAATTCCTAAATTAAATTAAACAAGTGGACTTTCACATCCAGTTGAGGTCATAACTATGTAGAGAAAAATCATTTCTGATTGACTTTAAAACACAGTAATTTGTATACTCTTACTGCTTGAGACACCCTAAAGACCATATAAAAATTCTGCTAAAATTTTTGAATCGTTTACAATTTTGATTGTGATTATTGATATTAAATATGATTATGATTAGATACATATGTGTACTCTGAAAACTGTAAGACACTGACAAAAGAAAGTGAAGACAACACAAATAAATGGAAAGATACACCATGCTCATTACTTTGAAGGATTAATTGTTAAAATGTTCATACCACCCAAAGCAATCTACAGATTCAATGCAGTCCCTAATAAAATACCAATGGCAGTTTTCACAAAACTAGAATAAAGAATCCTAAAATTTGCATGGAACCATAAAAGAGCCTGAATAGCCAAAGCAATCTTGAGAATGAAGAACAAAGCCGAAGGTATCACAATCTGATTTCAAAGTATAGCACAAAGCTATGGCGATAAAACAGTATGGTACTGGCATGAAAACAGATACATAGACCAATGGAATGGAATAGACAGCCCAGAAATAAACTCATGCGTATATGGTCAATTAATCTATGACATAAGAGGCGAGAATATACAATGGGGAAAAGACAATCTCTTCAATAAGTGGTGCTGGGAAAACTGGACAGCTACATTCAAAAGAAAAACTGGACCGCTATCTTACACTAGACATGAAAATAAATTCAAAACCGGGGCTGGCCCTGTGGCATGGTGGTTAAGTTTGGTGCACCTTGCTTCAGGGGCCCAGAGTTCTTGGGTTTGGATCCCAGGTGCAGACCTACACCACTTGTCAGCCATGCTGAAGTGTTGACCCACATACAAAATAGAGGAAGACTGGCACAGATGTTAGCTCAGGAGTAATCTTCCTCAAGCAAAAAAAGAGGAAAATTGATAGCAGATGTTAGCTCAGGGCGAGCTTTCCTCACCAAAACAACAACAACGAAATAAAAAATAGGTTTTTTTATTTAAAAAAATAGGTAAAAAAAAATATATAAAAAATAGGTTCAAAATGGATTAAAGACATGAATGTAAGACCTGAAATCATAAAACTCCTAGAAGAAAACATAGGCAGTCAGTTCTTTGACATCAGACTTAGCAATATGTTTTTGGACTGGTCTCCTCAGGCAAGGGCAACAAAAGCAAAAACAAACAGAATGACATCAAACTGAAAAGCTTTTGCATAGCAAAGGAAACCATCAACAAAAAAAATTGGCAAACTACTGAATGGGAGAAGATATTTGCAAATCATACACTCTACAAGGGGTTAATATCCAAAATATATAAACAACTTGCACAACTTAATATTTAAAAAACAAGTAACCCAATGAAACAATGGGCAGAGGACTTGAATAGACGTTTTTCAAAGAAGATATACAGATGGGCAACAGACATATAAAAAGGTGGTCAACATCACTAATCATCAGGGAAATGCAAATCAAAACCACAATGAGATATCACCCCACACCTACCAGAATGGTTATTATCAAAAGACAAAGAATAACTAATGTTGGTGAGGATGTGGAGAAAGGGAATCCTCATACGCTGTTGGTAGGAATGTAAATTGGTGTAGCCACTATGGAAAACAGTATGCTGGCTCCTCAAAAAACTAGTAATAGAAATAACATATAATCCCACAATTCGACTTCTGGGTATTTATCCAATGAAAATGAAAACACTAATTCGAATATGCACCCCTATGTTCATTGCAGCATTATTTATAGTAGCCAAGATATGGAAGCATCCTAGTGTCCATTGATAGATGAACGGATAAAGAAGACGTAGGATACATATACAAGGAAATGCCGCTCATCCATAAAAACGAATGAAATCTTATCATTTGCAACAACATGGATGGACCTGGAAGGTATTATGTTGGGTGAAATAAATCAGACAGAGAAAGACAAATACCATATGATTTCACTTATATGTAGAATCTAAAAATCAAAACAAATGAACACACAAAACAAAACAGAAACAAATTCATTGACGCAGGAAACAAACTAGTGGTTACCAGAGTGGGGGGGTTGGGCAGGCAGGTGAGATAGGTGATGGAGATTAAGAGGGACAAATGTCTGGTTATGAAATAAATGTCAGGAGGATGTAATGTAAAGCATAGGGAATATAGTTAGTGACAACGTAATAACTTTGTATGGTGACAGGTGGGAACTGGACCTAGCATAGTGATCATTTCATAATGTATGTAAATATTGAATCACTGTGACGTACACTTGAAACTAATAGGATATTGTATTTCCATTATACCTCAATAAAAAATTAATGAATTAAGCCTTTTAAAATTTTTAAACTCCATGTAGAAATTTAATATATTTAATTTCCTATTTTAGTGCTTCAATCATTAGATTAAACCTTCCTTAGGACTAAATGACTCTTAAGGATCTAATATCTTGACATTAAAATCATAAAAAACCTAAAGTTATTCTAAATTTACCAATATATTACACAAATTTAGTCAGATTTCAACTTAAATTGACAAGTTCAAATTAATTACTCAGATATTTTAAATGAGAGACTTGACCTGTTAGTACCTTATATTTGATTAACTCTTTCTGCCTAAGAAACCACTCTAAAATATAGTGGCTTAAACAAGAATCGTCTATTATCATCTGTGTCTGAGGACTGGCTGCAGGTGGGTTATTCCAGTACAGGCTCAGCTGAGTGGCTCCGCTTTATGCTATGGCTGTTGAGGTGGGTTGGAGGGGCTGTTCCACTCCAGCTTTCTGATGCCCAGATTAAAGAGATAGTAGCCTCCTGCTGGGAGTTCTTCTTGTTGTGTGGCAGAACTGCAAGAAGGCCAGGGGAACTGTGCAAGGTCCTTTAAAGCCCAGGCTTGTGACTAACACATCACCACTTCTGCCCACCTGCCACCAGCTAATGCAAGTCATATGAGTAAACCAAAATGAAGAGGCTGAAAAATCCCATCCACCCACAGTGAGTTTATGGCAAGTGTGTGATTGCAGACAGAAGTGAAGAGTTGCAACAAATAACGTATGTATATGTCTATCTATTACATATACAGGGTAAGAAGTTGTACAGTTTCCTTTGTATGCTTTGTTTTCCATTTCATATCAAAAGAAAGCCAGGCTTAGTTGGCTTTCTCAGGGGAACAACAACAACATACATTCTCCATCCTCTCTCAAAGGTACTCGTATTCTCTAGTGTACTGGCATAACCTAATAAGACAAGATTTATACTCGATCATTATCAAAAGTGAGTTGATTCATTACTATGGTGCTATCATGACAGCTTCGCTATCAGAAAAGAAAGCCAGGGAAGAAATAAGCACTGCGGTAACTTATTCAAGTAAATTTTAAGGGAAAAACTTGGGCTGGGATCACAGGAGACTTTCCAGAGACAGTTCAGAATATATATATATATATATTATCTTTATGCATGCGTACAGTGCTATTGCCAGGCCTTACTAACTAGAAAGAGGCTCAATGGCTTGTAGGGATATTTGGATTTTGGAGGGTATGTATGTTGCACCAGAGATATTATTAGCCTTTAAAATATCAAGTGACCAAAAAGAAATTTGAGTTTGAATGGGATCTGGAGCAAAAGAGGCTTTGAGAGATTTATGAAGGAAGAGCTGTAGCTCAAGTACAAAATCAAAGCCATGTAATGCTGATACACAAATTATTTTGAAAGTATCTACTATGCTGACACATGCAGACTAAATTCTCTGGGAGAAGTCTATAACCACTCCCATTCGGTGACTACTCATATATTTGAACTTGCAAGTTACCTGACGGCAATAGTTAGATGTAGTCACTCCAAGGGCCCAGTGTTAACCTGCAACTGGGCTTTAGTGGAGATAGTTTCAATTATT